ATTTATAAAATGTCTTTTTAAAAACACCAAAAGAGGTAGCCCCTTGAATTTCTCCATGGCAACAGAATGGGAGTAGGGCATTATTCCTGCCATGTTTCACTTTTTTTTTGTCGTGTCAAGAGCGACCTGAGAAACTGCAAGTCGCTTCTGGTGTGAGAGAATTGGCCGTCTGCAAGGACGTTGCCCAGGGGACACCTGGATGATTTTTGATGTTTTATCATCCTTGTGGGAGGCTTCTCTCATGTCCCCACATGAGGAGCTGGAGCTGATAGAGGGAGCTCATCCACCTCTCCCCGGATTTGAACCTGCGACCTGTTGGTCTTCAGTCCTGCCAGCACAGGAGTCTAACCCACTGCACCACCGGGGGCTCATGTCATGTTTCACTGATTTTTAGGAATATTTTCCACTTTAAGAACCTTGGACAAGTCACACTTTCTCAGCCTCAGAGGCCTGAAAATTTGAGGCTGAAACTTGCCAGACACATAAGCCACATTTATGACCGTAAGCCTGCCAGATTTCAGAACGTTTTGCTCATCCACAGATTTTTAAGATTCCTTTTAATTTTGTACAAATAAAGTGTCTCTAAAAATACCAAAAGAGTTATCCCTTTCAATTTCTCCACAGCAATAAAAAAGGAGTAGGTCATCATCCCTTGCAAGTTTCAGAAAGATCCATTTATCCACTGATTTTTAGGATTTTTTTTCCAGTTTAAGCACCTTGGGTGAGTCACACTCTCTTAGCCTCAGAGGCTTGAAAAATATAAGCTATCAGCTATCAAAGTGAAAAGTGTTACACTTGTTGGGCACAGTTTAAGAGTTTCAGAATATTTTGCTCATTCAAATTTTGGAAATTTGAAAAAAAATTCTCTCTCTCCTACTGAGAGGAGGCGGCAGCTTACAGAAGAAGAAATCAGATGCATCTGCTGTTCAGCAGCCGGCAGAATGTATTTCTTTGACTTGAAGTCCAAAATGACAACAGAGAAGGAGAATGGAGAGGAAAAACCATCCCTGTGATTGGCTGAGGAAGAGAATATAATGCAGCAAGTGTGGCTGCACTCAACCCCATTGCCCTCACACAGAAATTGCTTGCTGGGGGAAAAAATGGTCACATTATTACAGTAGAGTTTCGCTTATCCAACATTAATGGGCCAGAAGCACGTTGGATAAGCAAAAATGTTGGAAAATAAGTAGGGATTAAGGAGAAGCCTATTAAATGTCAAATTACCTTATGATTTTACAAATTAAGCACCAAAACATCATGTTTTACAACAAATTGACAGAAATATTCCACACCTGGAATATTGTGTCCAATTCTGGGCCCCACAATTGAAGAGAGATATTGACAAGCTGGAATGTGTC